GGTAGACGGGTTAACCCAGGATCAATGTTATTTAAATAGAACAGAATAAACCCATTTGGTGAACCATGCTCTAACTATTAAACTAGCTAACGCTAACTTGTATTTTGTTATATTTCTGTTTTGTTAAAAATTCAACCATAAATTATTCAATACTGCATAATGAGCAGTCGGAATATTCAGGTTTTTCTCTGAGCAATCTTGTTTAATCTATGTTTTGTAATACAAGGCAACAATATTTGAAAATTTTGATCAGAATAATTTTTTACAGAGAAAGTATTTTGTCGCGTTCTTTCAAGTCAATAGTGCATCCTGGCTTTTGAATACAATAAAAAGCAGAGCTTGCTCCGAGTTTCAAGCATGCCTCTAAATTGCCTCCTTGCGCCAGAGATGCCAAAATTCCTCCTACAAATGCATCGCCTGCACAACTCGTATCGATAAAATCTCCCGGATTAACTTCGCTTACCGGATTTTCGAGGCAAAATTTCACCGTCCTGGAACACTAGGCTAGGGTGTGGTCCTCGTGTTATGATAACAATCGGTGATTTCTTTTTAGTTGCTTTGGCCATATTGCTAACCCGTTTTCCGATTTCTTTGATGTCGTTTTTGACGTTATCAGTGCTGTCGTCTTGAGATACCGAGAATTCTCGGAACTCGTCTTCGTTTCCGAACAGAAAATCCACTAATGGCAGCAGTTGCAGAATCTTTTCCTTAAATGTTGTTCTCTATATGACGAATTAGATCACCAGAAGAAAAACTAATAATAGACAACCTTGGAAAACATCCAAAATTCGCATTTTTTTTATTTTTAAAAATTATGCTGCTCGGAATTAGTAGTAACATTCAAATAATACTCGAATCAATCATAATCATCAAAGAGTAACCGGCCCACAATGCAACTAGAAAAAATATTTCAATCTCTGTTTGTTACCATTGCAAAAAGGTTACACCGGTTACAATGAGTGTTTAATTACAGATTTTCTGCGCACCCGTACCGAACTTTTCTCACAATTTCACGTCTGATCATACAATTATCAGACACTAGCTCTGTGCATATCTCTTTCACATGCGATCACTTCTGCCGTTTGCAGACTATACCTGAGTCAGACATGACTATACATGGTCAGACATGACTATACCTGAGTCAGACATGACTATACTTGGTCAGAAATGACTATACCTGGTCAGACATGACTATACCTGCTTCAGGTCTGACCATGTAGAAAACTTAGCGCCATGTAACGGCAGAAACACATATGGTTATAATGTAGTCCACTGTAGTCTTACGATAAAATTACAAGCCGGCAAGGTATTTTGATAGACAAAGAATCATAATGACTGCCTATTTTGAACTATTTACCTTGATCTTGTATGAATTGTTTCGGGAGCGACCTAGCTCCCAATCCAATTGGATAGTTTAAAAACTTTATGGTCCGAGCTGTTGTTTGTTTGTTGTGTCTGAGGCATGTAGAAAAAAGATCCTTTGTTTCAGTTATCGCTTCTCGGCTATAATCTTTGGCTAAGATCATGAAAGAGAAGCACTGTCACGGCCCTTCTTCGAACAAGAAGTAAATGCAGCCCTTGATCATGCATCATCTGCTCCTGTCCCCGATGGGTGGACCTACGCTATTTTGGCTCAATAAAAGGTTTCGTGCCAGCCTTTACGTTCGGATTGCACCAGTTAGCAGCTTCAGGGGCTACGCCTGATAGGTGGAGGAATTACGAAAATCTACTTCTGTTTAAAAAGCCCAACGAATTCCAAGAGGGAATGGACAAGTTCCTGAAAATTTTTTCGCCCTATAGCGCTATAAAATGTGACATAAAAGCTCCTTACGTCAATGATCTGCAAACGACTATCCTCGTGGTTCGAGAGGAACAATGGCATCTCCCACGGGCAGCAAGCTGTTTTTTCCAGAAAAGGCGTCATGGAGAAAACGCTTTTCGTAGCTGAGTCCTTACACTCCAAGAAAGGTGTCCTATATCTTGACCTTAGCGATGCGTTTAACAGTGTGGAACACTCAATCATTTCCAAAGCTCTACGACAAAGCCAGTGCCCAGAATGGATTACACGAATCATACAGACCGTTTACTCAGATTGTACTAAACATCCTACAGAACTATCCGGCATGACACTCTGTGACCCAGTGAACGTTTCCAGAGGTGTTAGGCTAGGCTGTCCACTCAGCGCTCTATTATTCAATCTGGTCCTGGATCCAGTCGTGAGGAGTGGAAAGATAACATCTGCTTCCTGCTTGGGATAAATGGACGACTTAGCAGTTGTGTTGGAGGGCGCATCCAAAGCACCGGGGATCCTGCAGAAAATAGTTGACTGCGCCCATTCACTGGGTTTCACCTTCAACCCTGCAAAATGCGGAGCTGCAAACATCTCCATACCACTCACCAATGGAGACCAATTGGTAACAGTAGTGACCGAGGAAAGAGCCTAGAAAAATCTTGGAACGACCGCATTCCCGTCAATAGTTGGAGGACTTGAGTCCTGCTTTGAGAGAGCTTGGGCCTTAGCACAGCTAATAAAAGATTCTCAGCTCTCCTCTATGCAAAAGTTACATGCTCTCAGGACTAAGATTATACCATCTGTTAGAGGATTCATATACCGATCAAAAACAACTCCATAGGATGAACTGATCACTGCGAAAGATGGCAAAACGCATTCTTTGCTTTTCTGAGAAAGCAACTACGGCGTACATCAATTTGAACCGTTTATACGGAGGACCTGGACTTCCTGACTTGGTCCTAACAAAAGCAAAAATGACACTTAAATCGTTTGTCAATGCTTTTAATATCAAAGACTCTCTGGGAACGCTGACCCAGAAATTGCTTCTTCATGGATCATCAGATGAAGAGGTGATACGCGCAATAAACCAGAACAAAAAGGCTAGACTCTCGGAAATTACCAAAGAAACTTCTCTAGCACTGCAACGAATACGCAATTACCTGAAACTGAACATCAAATTAGAACTGCACAATGACAGGTTGAACATGCAACTTACATATATGAGCTATCGAAACCCATGGCCAATGCTCCACTCCCTAATCACAAAAGGAGTCTTGCAATCTTATTAGAGGCTCGAGACCAAGGCCGTTACTGGAGGAGCCTCAGCTCATCGCCTATTGCGACTAAGACGATATACAGTTTTCACATCAATTTTTGCGACTGGCGGTTCATTCATCGTTCTAGGCTAAACCTCACCCCTTTACGCGGAGCAATCACCTGGTGTAAAAACAAAAACACAACCTGCCGCCGCTGCCAATTGAATCAAGAGACACTGAATCATGTTATCAATAATTGTCTAGTCAACCGTAAGTCAGTAATAAGCAGACACGAGGAGGCGCGGAATCTACCTGAAGCAAGTATACCTGCACATTATACCATCATCAAAGAGCAACGTTTTGGGAATCTGCAGCCCGACCTGATTGTTCAAAATAACGAAAAGCAGACAACAGTCATCCTCGATATCAAAGTTTCAGCAAAGCCACAAAAACCCAAGAACAGCACGTGACTGACATGGCAACCAAATATGAGAGCACTACGCTTCTGAGAAAATTGGCCAACAAAAACGTCCACCATGCACGGAACCTTTCAATTGGACACATCACCGGAAACGCCCAAACTTATTAGATTGTGACCTACAAAAAAAAACTTATCTTCACCGAAGGCTATTCGCTGTTTCAAACATCCCAAATGTTGATCAACTTCAAAAAAACTAAGATTTTCAAACTTGCTATGATTTCAAATTTCATTCTCTACTATTCTCAGTGTCCTTGTAAATTAACTCCTGTTCTTGCTTATTTTGATTCTGAGGAATTAAATCTTTCATCTGTTTCTGTCAGCGTATTATCTGGCATGCTGGGCATTGCCTGGCACCAATATTAAACTGATTTTTGCTTCTAGAGTTAACACCAAAGCTTGCTTCGGTTGACTCATGAATTGTCCCGGTCTAACGCTACCAAAATGATATGGCTGCTTCAGGACTTATCATGCAATTTCAGGCATGATTATGTCTGCTTCAGGTATGATCATGTAAAGTCAGGTATGATCATGTCTGGGCCAGGTATGATCATGTAAAGTCAGATCTGAAATATACCTAGGACAGGTTTGATCATACCTGGGCCAGACCTGAAGCAGACATGATCATACCTGACTTTTTCCATAGTTATCATATCTGTTCATGTCTGATTCAGACATGTACAGCAAAAAAGAGACATGCAACAGGACTGATACAGTTCTGAAAGTTGTATGAATTTTTGATGTTTAGATTTGAATTTAACTAAAAATTTCAGTACGGGCATTTCTTTGTGAAAACGGAGAAAAATTTTGCTCGTTCTCAAATGGAAAAAAATTTACAAAAAAAACATAACCAAAAAGTTTTTAAAAGAGGTTGCTCAGTTTCAACCACAGTTTGTTGATTTTTTTCGAAACTGGAAATACTCAAACCATTGAGAAAACCTGTTTCGCCCATCTCTGTTATAGCTTTCCTTTCACTTGAATTTTGCAGAAAAAAAAGTTCTAATTTTGTTTAATATCTAACCTTGAAGCTTTTACAAATGAATTCTGCAGACAGGTTGAAGCAAAATATCTTTCCAGTATTAGCGGCCTGCTCAGCCAGAAGAAACAAAGCAACGGGGCACACAGTTAAGAAGAAGCCAGTGCAATAGAAAATTCTCGCGTTTTCGACTAGGGTCCAAATTTCGTCAGTTTTCAGATGCTTTTCTGAATCATAAAAATTAGCTGCTCCTAAATATGCACACAGAGACCTGTTTACGCCAGTTATGCAAACTGCTGATTTTGCTGTTGGTTTATGCTGCACTTGGTAGAATTGCGCGTTAATGTTTTCATTCTGACAATATTGGAGAAGAGTTTTCGCTTCGTGGTCTGTTCCTGTTGTCCCGGCGAAGACACAAGCCTGTTTCTGAGAGTCACCTGCATAAAAACGCTGCAGCTATTTAGCGACTTATTCAATAAGTAATAAGAAGGTGGGGGCTCAAGCAAAAATTTAAGCAAAAAAAATCAACCTCGTTTTGGGTCAAAAACCCTCTTCCCGCCCAAAGGGACTCGCTTTGGTACCATTTTAGGACCTCCATTTTTGGCTGACCGGCTCTACAACTTTCCAGAAAAAATATATATACTGATTATCTTCCTAGATTATTTTTATGAATAACGAACCAATCAGCAATTGACAGTATCTGATGGAATTCAAAGCAGCACCTCCTGGAGTCACCTCGCAATCGTATGATGCCACCAGATCTTCTAGAATATTCTGATTGTCGTCGTCGCCCAGAATTGCATCGTGTGGCCTCAGAGAGTGACGAGCGAGGAAATCAGAGGAAACTTCTGCCGAAAAATCGAGCATCGGATTTCCAATAGAGAAAACACACCCCTCACATAATTTGGACATTTTTGAAGACAAAATAGCATTTATTCAACTATTGGAACGTAACATTGAATCAAAGATGAAATTATTATAAAAAATGTGTCGAAATTTAAGAACTGCTGTTAGAACCATTAGCGTGCCGAGGGAGGGGTGCATGGGGGGATTACCGCCTTTCCCCCTCAATTCTGGTTGCCAAGTTTTTCCAAAGGGTCCCTTCTTTGGTACAACTTTATGACATCCATTTTTCGCTGACCAACCTCAAAATTTTTCTAAAGGCGCCTTGGGCGCCAATATGACTAATTTTGAGGTGGAAGCGCGCGCCGTAAAAACGCAACTTTTTTTGGTCAAAATTTCTAAAAACTGCCTAAAAACGCCTTCTTGAAAATGTTGGGTCACAAAATAGGGTCGTTATACTATTTTAGGAGAGCTCGAAAAATCAAAATGGCAGGCCTATAAAAAAGGCCGGCTAAATTTTCAAAATTTTTCGAACCCCCCCAAGAAAAATTTCTGCACACGCCACTGGCTAGTACTTATCTGTATTTGTTTCTGATAACTGATAAGTATTTCAAAACAGGATTATCTATGTTGCAATCTGCTACGCCTCAGATGATGACGAGCTTCTGTGGGCAAATTAAATACATGGTGCAATAATCATGAACTTTGTGCAAGAAAAGTTTCAGGTGTTTTGGTGCTTTGATGTGACAGAAAACACTTACGTCACATCCGCAATCCTCCTTCTATCTAATAGATTTATTAAGTAAATAGGCAACGGACCATTTTTCAAACATCCAAGCATCAAAATCAGTAATTTCCGCTTTCGGTTGAGCAGGTAAGCCTTCAGAATTTGAACTTAGAGGTAAGTTTTACTCTGATATTGCAGAAAACTTAAATTTAGTTAAGTTTTTGGTACGGGAAAAAAATTGGTCAAGGAAGAAGAATTAACATCAGTTTGGGAAAAAAATATGGAAATTTTGCTACATATGAGTTATTCCAAATGTATAGAAAAATAATCAATTTAACTTTCAGGACTTTGCGCTGATACGAGCAGTCTTGTTGTTATTGCTTCAATCGCGAAATAGATTCTCCATTTTTCCGAGAGTGAAGAAACCTTTTTGTCGCTCTAGTTTGGATGTTTCAATGGGGGTTGTGAAATAAAACCACTAGTAGAATATACGGTATTGCCTCAACAGAACATAGACTGTAATTTTTAGGACGAAAGTGCCGTTTTACTCTTGATGATGTCAACCAGGGGCGGATCGAGGATTTTGTCGAGGGGGTGCCGGATTTTCGTTAAAATATCGAAAACTTTGACGACCTTTTTTTCGGTTGACTAAATTATCTTTCCAAGCTCTCACAGAGCACTAAAGTTACCCTGTTTTTTTCTACGCCAAAGGCAAAATTTTGAAACACTGGCCAAAAAAGGCGTTTTTAGGCACTTTTTGGAACATTTCGACCAAAAAACCTAGTTTTTTGTGCGCGCGCTCCCCCCTCAAATGTAGTGTATATTCTTGGCGCTAAATTCGCCTGGAAAAATTTCAGGGTCTGTCATCAAACATGGATATCTCAAAATAGTACAAAGGGGGGTTTCTTTGGGTCGGCATGGGGTCGAATCCCTGAAAGGGTGGTCATCCGCCCTCCCTCCCCCCTAAATCCGCCCCTGGTATCAACCAATACAAACTGTAACAAGACTGCTCGTATTAGGGTAAAGCCCTGATTGTGATCCGGCTGCCTATTAAGGTTTTTGGAGCAGTAATAACCTAAAAAATTAGATGTAATAAAGTAAAATGAACATTTTTTTTTTAATTTGAAATTTTTTATGAAAATCATTCCCCCCCACACGCCATATAAAGAACAAAAGGATAGATTTTGCTCCTTGTAACAAATCAATTAAGGCAAATAAGCTTCGTTCAACCAATTTGGAACGATTTATAGGACGGATTAAATCTCTGCTTACGCGTTAATAGCGCGAATTTTATCGCTCGTTAATTGTCCCAAGTTGGTCAAAATGGCAATCTTTAAACCCTCATAACTTTACGAAAAACGATCACAGGTGAAATATCTTTTCAAATTTAAGCTCAGGACAACAATACCTTTTGAATGATATAAAAAAATTCCGTCAAAAATGGCCAGTTAAAAATTCGAAATTTGTCTGAAGAAAAAAAAAACCACCCCGAGCACAAATATTCCGTAACTTTCGTATCGAAAGTCGGAACAAAAACTCTAAAAAGTCTGCTTTGATTCACATCTTTGTCATTGCTGTAGTGAAGCAATAAGCTATCTTTGACTCGGTCTTTCTTTTTTCAAGTTCAAGCCTCATAAACATTTGAGATTTAAAGACTCATCAGTTCAGTTCATTTTTGTTCTCTTCTGAGTTTCTATCTGTTTTTGTTCCGACTTTCGATACGAAAGTAACGGAATATTTGTGCTCGGGGTGGGTTTTTTTTTTCTTCAGACAAATTTCAACTTTTTAACTAGCCATTTTTGATGGAATTTTTTTATATCATTCGAAAAGTATTGTTGTCCTGAGCTCAAATTTGAAAAGATATTTCACCTGTGATCATTTTTTGTAAAGTTATGAGGGTTTAAATATTGCCATTTTGGTCAATTTGGGACAATTAACGCGCGGTATATTTTGCGCTATTAACGCGTAAGCGGAGAGTTAATCCGTCTTAGAAATTGTTCCAAATTGGTTAAAAGAAGCTGGTTTGCTTGTTTGTTCATGAAAAAAATTTAAATTTCAGAAAAAATTTTTCAGTTTGTTTTCTTTCATTGAATTTTTTAATGTTATTACTGCTCCATAAACCTTAAAGGGCAGTCGGAACATTCAGGGCGTCACCCTGATACGAGCAGTCTTGTTATTTTTTATTTTTTTTCTCATTTTTCTACAAGAGAGCACCATTTTGACGTGTTGATATCACCTTAGTTTACTTATATTAGCTTAAAAATTTATGAATATTTTGTGTTCGAATAATACAAAATATAGACCGACAATCTTTTTTAGGCAGATAATAGTAAATAACTTTTTATATGTTCGAGACTGTTTATGATGAGATCAAACGTCGTTTAAGCAAACAAGTTGAGTTTCACTGTCTTCAACTGAAATTTTCATTCCATTTTTTTGATTACATAAAGACTTACAGCTATATCTGATCAATAATTGGTCATACGCAATCCGGTGACCGCGCTAAGAACAGAATGGTTCAAAAGAGCAGAAAAAAAAACTGAGAATAAAACAATCAAAATCAGACTGGTACACAGGAAAGTTTTTCGCGAGTGTTTTTGAAACTAAAAAAGCACACATCATTTCTCCAGCTCTGATTGCTTATTTTCTTCGCGCAATCTGAATTTTTAACTGTTCTAAGAATATGTTAAATTATTGTTCTTTTTGAGCCATACTTTACCTTCCAAACTGCTATGCCCTAGCAGGCGTGGGAATCGATACGAAATGTTTCACTGAACTAAAATCTACGGCAATCACTTAATATGGGAGTAAACGTTGGTCTGCTAATTGTAGCACTACGCAATCGTACGAAAACAGTTAGACAGTGAAAAAAATTATAAAAAATAAGCGATTTTTCTGGGTAGGCTTACAGTCAAACACAGTGCTAGTCCACGTCATTTCATTGGATTGTTTAAACGAATATGTTAAGTGTTGTCAAGGTCCGGACATATATCTCGTTACATTCCATCTTCGATTTATAAACTGGGCATAACAATTCGTAACCAAGCTGAGCTTCGTATTCAATTCATTTTCCTTATTATATTTTTAGTTCATTAAAATTTCAAAAGTATTTTACTATTTCACATGGCGCAGCCAGTAGTTTTTAATCAAGGTGATCAATCAGATCTTTTAGGGGCTCCTGTTTTTTGGCACAAGCCAACCCCAGACCCGTCTTTTAATTGGGACACTTGGATTGGTCAATTCTTTTTAGCTATCAGACTTGGCAAACACTGTTATCTTAATGATTTTTTCGAAGAACCAACCGAGGTTTTTGATGATCCTCCCCCAGAGCAGAAAGAAACGGTGAGTCAGACGCTAATAATCGGGCCAAACGTGAACAAGCGGAAGTTTGGAAAGTCAACGAACAAAACGCAGAACGCCTTAAAAATGGGCCAAAATTTGACCCAATGCTTTTTTTTCAAAGCAGATCAGAGGGTGAAATCCAGACTATTCTTTTCATTAAGCACAGAGGGGAAGAGAAACTTTCACTAAAATTAGGCCCACATGAACCTAGTACCTAGCAACCACCTCTTTCAAAGACTTTTACAACCGTTGTACAAATCTTTTACAGAAAAAAAAAAGAATTTTTTTGTGGTGAAATGTATAACCCTCTACAACCCTTCTTCCCAACATAGCTCATTTTCAAGCCAAAAGTCCTTCAATATCAAGCAGTAACCGATCATATCCCTCATAAAAAAAACAACCTGCAGAAATGCATATCGAGAGCCCGAAGCAGTAAAACCAACTGATGAAGTCTTAGAAGATAGGACCAAAGAAGAGTGCAATCTTATCGCTTCCGACAGCGAGACAGAATTCTCAGTATTGAACATAACAAGTTTCGCAGAAAATGACTACCGCAGGCAATAAATTCAATCGTCAATGCAGTCGTCACAGAACTTATCCGTCAAAAGACTAGAAGTTATCAATACAAGTTATGGGAAAGACAAACTACAATCAGAGTAAATCTGTCTTTCTTCTAATCGACCATTGACACAGGCAGCCGAGCTTCATTTGTAAACAAATGCACAGCCGATATTCATTTAAAATCTGGGGAAAAGTACACGTACTCTCATTGGAAAATTGTCTAATTGACGCAAGGTATGTCGACTATAGTAGAAAATCGATCAATTTGCACGGTACGCTAACAGCTAAAATATCAATTATAGGTTAGAAAATGGAAAAAGCGGAAAATTACAGAAAAACAGGCAAGATCGTTATTAGGCCTCAATATTCAAGCCCTATTAGGTATACACTCTGTCTAAGAACGTTTTCAACCAGTTTTAAAATTTCTGATTTACCAATTTGAGAAGCAACCCAATAGTGGGAGTAACCGTTTTTTGCCAGACTTCGAAAGTCTAAGAACGATCGCGTACATTCGGTCTTTGAGGACCCT